TACAATAATCCTGATTTAAGGGACACCCACAAAGAGGTACCCCTAATTTCGGGACCCCTCGCCCCAGTTTGTTGTTGCTTGTATTCACCTTTTGATCAGGTTTCTCATTTCAGGAGTACTTTAACTTTCTTTTCCCAAACCCGCCAATGCAGGGTGAAGGATCCCCCTCGGAAAGACAATGCCGTTGCGGATGAGGGGATCTGGTGGTTTACCGAAATCAGGGATACATTTTTGGGGTTTCGGGTTTAGGGTGGTTCATGCTGGGAGTCACGGTTACTCCAATCTCGAGCCCAAAAGATTATATTCCTTATTATGGAGACTTCCAAACAGTATTCCGAATTTTCGGAGACCTCCCCATGTAAACCAACAGCCCTAAGCCCTAAGCCCTAAACCCTAAACCCTAAAACCCTAAACCCCGTAAACCCAAAAACTCTAAAAACCTCAACTCTAAACCCTCAAGCCCTAAACCCTAAAACCCTAAAACCCTAAAACCTTTAAACCTAAACCCTAAACCCTAAAACCCTAAAACCTAAACCCTAAGCTTTGTATTGAACCATCTTGTAAGCCCTTACGGCTGCTGACCGTCAGCAGGAAATGGTTTTAAGGGTTTAGGGTTTTAGGGTTTAGGGTTAAGGGTTTTAGGGTTTCCGGGTTTAGGGTTTAGGTTTTAGGGTTTTAGGGTTTGGGGTTTTAGGGTACGAGTTCAGGCATGCTTCCTCCCATGTGCTCCATCCTTCTAAGGCTCCAAGTGTGCAATAGTTGGGGTCTCTTTCAAAGGCGTTTAGGGACATATTATATACGGCTTTACAGGGGTATAAGGCACTAAACCCTAAACTGCATCAACAAAATAGGCGTCAGTGACATACAAGGTAGGCTTTCCCATGCTTGTTAAGACCCACATGCATCAAAGCTCCTCGACCTCTGCAGGGTTTTCCATAAACAGGGGTCCCCTAAACATTACATCCCCCCCTAAACCCTAAACCCTAAACCCTAAATTCCCTAAACCCTAAACCCTAAATTCCCTAAACCCAAATTCCCTAAATCCTAAACCGACAATTGCTCCATCTGGGATGCCTGAGCTCCGAGGAGGTGG